AAAAAAAAAAAAAAAAAAAAAAGTTCATCAAAAAAATCTATAAAACAGATATGTTATGGAGAAAAATAAATTAAACAATATTTGCCTGAGCATTACCTCCAAATTCCTTACCAAATTTGAAATAAAAATAAAATACGGAAAACAAGTACTAATAATAAAAATAAATAAAAAGAAAAAGAAAATTAAATTTAGTGAAAACGCATAAAATTGTTTAGACCCGGAACTAAAGTTTCAAAAACTCATAAAATTGTTTAGACCCGGAACTAAAGTGAAAACAAACAGTAAAAAGTGAAAAAATACGTGGGCGAGCATGTTTTGACACCGCCATCTTTGGCGATTTTTAATTCTTATTTGGCTTAGCCAAATGACTTGAAACTTTGCGTCCATGTACGTCACGTCATAAAGAACTCACAAAAACAAATTCAGAAAAAAATAATTATTTTTAGGCCCCAAAATATTTTTTGGCGGGGGCCAAACGCCGTCTGGTTCGGACCCCGTACAGGACCCCGAACGCCCGTACGTACGGAGGTTTGCCCGGGGACCTCCGTACGTACGGGCTGGTGACCCTGATTATAATTGTATAATAATAATTATTATTATTACTATTAATTTTATTATTATAGCTATCTAGTTAATTTAAAGTGTTATGTGTGTGTGTGTATCCCTCCCCGTTCCCTCGTAATGGAGGTTCGGGTGGGGTAGGTCTCTGTTTTTTAATTGGATTTAGGACCTACCCCATCCGCGGTAGGTCCTCCATCCGAACCAAGCCAGTTGTTTTTGGCTCTCACATACACATATTATTTTTTATCAGTGGGGATTTTCTTAGTGTCGGTTGTGGGTGTACAGGAGTTTTTGCAGTACGGGTTCTGGGCAGTCGCGGAATGGTTGGTAGTTTTCAGGGTGTTGGAGTATTTTTTTGGTGATTTCGAAGAGTCTGTGCTTAGAAAAGTCATTGTGTATCAGGTCGTTGATTGTTTGTTCTATCGGGTGAGGGCAGACAGGAAGTTGGTTTTGTTGAAGTTGTGCATGGGTTTGGGGTATTTTGATGGGTTATTGTGTGAAGTGACAGTTTACGTGACAAAAATGTCGGAGGATATCCCGGATGAGGTTCTGAGTGGCGGGGTAGATGTGTTGCCTGAGCTCGTCGATCTTGTGACAAGCGATCTGCTACAAGAACACGAGGATAAGCAGATTGATTTCATGGAGTGGGAGGCAATACTGGAGTCGCCCTTACGTTGGCGTCAGTATATGTGTGGTGTATTACGTATAGGGGATAGTTATAATTGGTGATCTGTTCATTTGATCATGGTGGTATGTACAATGCGATTTAGCGGAATTCTTGATGTACATGATTGTGAGGGCGAGATTTGTAGCGTAGGTTGATATGGTGCAGATGAGCAAAGTTTGGACAATGTTTTTCTTCAGACGGGTGTATGAGTCTCATCTACTTGACCCTGACCGTGTTTTATCGATTTCAAGCACCCTTACTATTGAGTAATATCGACTAGTACGATTGTGCATGCATGAGAGGATGATATTATGCATCTCATTGTATTTCATCTACCTTGTCATACCGGTGTTTATCGATTTCAAGTGCCCTCACCATTGAGTAATCTTGACGAGTACGATTGCGTGTGCATTAAAGGAAAATATGATATTAAGCATATCCCGCAAAAATACTTTTTTGAAGACGGAAGGAAGGAAGAGCGCGGAACCCTATCGGTGCCAACCTGCCATATCAAGAAT